CGGGAGGGGGGGGCGGCGCTGCCGCCTGGACGAAGAGGAAGGAAGAGGGGAGACCGCTAGAACGGCCGCGGGAGAGATACAATCGGGAACTCTTGCTTAGCGTGTCGTAGCGGCGGCCCCAGAAACACGCTATGCCGTGGGAGCTGATAGCGTGACGCTCCGCTCCGCGGGGCGGGACGCTGGGACGTTGACACTTGGGGAGCGGGACGTGGATCGCGTGTCGCGAAGAGGCGTGGTGGGCCAGAACCGGCGTCGCGACACGCTAAACCAAAGTTCCTGAGCGTAGACATTCTCGATTCACTGGACGCGGCGACGCACGCAGTGCCTGGCAGATGAGCCGAAGGCGGCTGCAACCGAAAAGCCAATCCGACTTCACCCTCCCCCCTGTCGCCCAGGAAGACGCGGAGCGTGCCCGAAGGACTTCACCCCTCCCCAGTGAGAAGGGAAAATACTCAGACCGACTGCTGTTGCTGCTAACACTGGCGGAAAAGGAGGATCTACAGTCAACCCGTATCATAAGGATGCGCGGTAAGGATGCAAGGGCATTGGAGGCCCATGTGAACGTTTTTCGAACGAGGCTGGCCAACGAAAGTCGCTAAGGGTGGGCCGAAGGGGCAAGGATACAAGGGTACCCTTGGGAAGGGTGCCCATCCTTACTATGCGGGTTGACTATATGGAGTGCGCAGCGCCTCGGGAGTCTTCGATGGCCCCAAGACGCACGCAGCCGCCGAGGTGAGCCGAAGAAGGCTCAGCCATCAGTCAAGAGCGCCGAGCCGGGCCCCGAGACAGCCCCGAGGCCCCCAGAGGATTTCGAGATGCCCCTGAGCCAATGCACCCAGAAGCTCGTCGAGTCCCGAAGAGAAGCAAAAACAACAACCACAACAAATACTGATGCTCCTTCTCCTGCACTGATGGTTTTCGGACCCCCGAGAAGCCAGTGACGTTGAAACCCTTGACGGTACCAGGCGTATCGAGCTCATCGGGTACGCAAGGGATCCAAGTCCAGAAAGCCCCCTCCCTGCGAGGGCCCCAGGACGGCCCCAAGAAAGCCGAAGGATTCCCCGATGCGGCCCTCCACCTCCCCCTCCTTGACCCCCTCCTTCCCCCTCCCCGTCCTCCCCCCCTGGTTCCATCCTTCCCTTCTCCTTCCAGCTATCCCGCCTCCGCCGCCTCAGCGGCGGCGACGACAACGACAACGAAGACGACCATCGTGCGAACATGTGATTCAACAAGCTGCTTTGACCTTCATCTGTGTCTCCTCCTCCTCCTCCTCCTCCTCCTCCTCCTCCTCCTGCCTTGTACCCGCCCTCTAAGTCGATGAGCTAGCCCTACTTGGGGGAGCTTCTTCTTGTACCAGCTCCTTGGAGAAGCACTCAGAGCACCTTTCCTGAGTGTGGGCAGGCATCCGACCAGGGCGCGTGGGAGTGAACTGCGAGGAAGTATGGAGCGGGAGCCGTTGGCGTAGTCGGGCCGCGGGAGCCGTTGTCGTCGTTGCTGGGTCTGCAAGGGCCGGGATAGGGGACCCAAACCCGCGCTCGAGCGGGAGCGTCAAAATGTTGCTGGCGTCCATGCGAGATCGCCCCGCACCGTGTCCATTGATCAACAATACCCATGGGTCGGAAGAAGTGGGCAGAAACATGAAGCAGAAAGACGTTGGAAGTAGATTGGGTCTCCGCTCGCCCCCTGAAGGGGAAGGAAAAAGGAAAGATGCTTGATTGAAGCAGGAGGGCGCCTAAAGTAGGTTGGGATCTGGGGTATCCACAAATACCCACTTTCAACGACCCAGCTCGTTGTGCCACCTGTGACGCCTCAAGGTTTGGCCTCCTCGAGCTCTCCAGAAGGGCATCTCGGAGCCCGTTTGGACCGCCTTGGAGGCCGCGCTTGAGCTGTCTTGATGCCAACTTGGGAACTTGTCGAGGCGTCTTCAGCCATCTCGGGCCGTGTTGGTGTCATCTCGGCTGCCTTGGATGCCGTCTTGGAGGCCATCTTGACCATCTGGAGGCCGAAAACACAGCCGCGGAACGAACTCGATGGGCATATCCTTTGAAGCAAATACTCAACGAGGACGCGTTGACCGCCTGGCGAGGGCCGCGCCTTCGCGTCCCTCCCCGGCGCTTACACGCGCCTCGGCGTCCCGGCGCCTCGCGCGAGCCCGCGTCCGGGCGCGCGGGCACGCGCGCGCGCGCCTGCGAGCCGCCGCCAGGTGGGAGGAGGAGGAGGAGGAGGCGGAGGAGGAGGCGGAGGAGGAGGAGGAGGAGGAGGCGGAGGAGGAGGCGGAGGAGGGAGGAAAGAGGAGCAGGAGGAGGAGGAGGAGGAGGAGGAGGGGGAGGAGGAGGAGGAGGGAGGGGGAGGAGGAGGAGGAGGAGGAGGAGGAGGAGGAGGAGGAGGAGGAGGAGGAGGAGGAGGCGCAGGAGGAGGGCGAATAAGAGGGCCATCGGGGGCCCAAACCGCGGTCCACCCCCGCCGGGGGACTGGTGCCCCCGCACGCGCCCCCCTGTGCCGCGCCCGCCCGCGCGCGCGCCACCTCATGGGGGTTGGCCCTAGCCTACTGGCCGCCCAAGGCCGTCCAGGCGCCACAGCCAGCATGGAACGGTCTCGGCAGGGTGTGCCCATGCAGCACGCGCAGACGGTCATACCAGTATCATCGGCAGGCAGTGTCTGGGCCCGGCAGGCCCGCCTCACTCGTAGGGCCAAACTACAAGCGGCTCAGAGAGTTGCAGGCGACAAGATACGGCAGCAAAACATGATCATCACAGAGCTTCGAGAAACCGAAGCTGGGCGAGTGGGAAAGCCTGTGGGAGCATCAAGAACTGCGGAATCATAAAGAATCGTGGAGCCATCAAGAATTATGGCCGCGGTGGAAGCAGCAGTGGCCGCAGCGGCAGTACTGTGGGTCGTGGCAGCAGAAGCGAAGCGTCAAGCAGCAGAAGCAAGATGAGTGGGCGGAGGTTTTAGCGACAACTGCGTCCTGCACAGGCGGGTACATCCTACCGCAGACAGCTGAGAAGCACGTAGCAGCACAGCAGCCCCTGCCTGCAGTACACGAACCCGACGGAGACACCTACGAGGAAGTGGGAAAAACACGAGCCCAACGTCGTCAGCTGCGGGAGGACTCACACGAAGCACGAGCCTGACGGCATCAGATTTGAGGGTGGTAAAACGTAGCACGAGTCCGATGCCGTAAGCAACGACTAGGGTGTGGCTGCGAAGCACGAACCCAACGTCATCAGCTACAATGGTGGGGCCGGTCCCCTTAGGCCCTTATGCAAGAAGGCCCGGCAGTGGTGCGAGAAGGGCCGGCAGTGGCGCGTGAAGGGCAGGCAGTGGTGCGCGACGGGCGGGCACCGGCGGGAGAAGGGCTGGCTGGCAGTGGTGCGTGACGGACCGGCAGTGGAGCCGAGAAGGGGCGGCAGTGGTGCGACACGGGCCGGCAGTGGTGCTAGAAGGGCCAGCAGTGGTGCCTGAAGTGCCGGCAGGTGGGGCAGTGGCGGCAGAGGTTGGATACAAGACGCCATCAACTACAGCGCGGCACGCGAAACGCAGTGTCCGTACCGTGGTCAGTGGCTTTGCAGGCTTGTACGCCGCCCGCTATGCAGCTGTACGCGGACATCAGGAGGAGCAGAAGAAAAGCCGAGGAGGTGAAGGAGCAAGACATGTATGACAGCGACCCGGGGGACGTTAGGATTCAGGCGCTGCTCGACACGGCGCACAAGATATTCATAGCACGACGGCCCGACGTGACACTCAGGACACTTCAAAAGATCTACAAAGCCGCTCCACACGCCATGCGGCATCCTGATATCCAGCATTTGCACGACAGCATCCCTAGCTGCCTCAAAGACAGGCATCGCTACGAGCACCTGGTGGAGTAACAAAGGCATGTATACACAGCCGAGGAGGAGAAGGAGCAGGAGATGTCTGACATCGACGCGGGGGACGAGAGGGACGAGGGCAGAGTGTAGGGCACATGAACACACCAAACAAGCGCAGCGGCACGCCGCAGGCAAGCCGTGGTGCGGATAGGGAGTGCGAGAAGGGACAGCAGTGGAAGCAGACGGGGCGAGGCGTGGACGAGCCATCAGCTACAGACCAAGTCTACGTAGGAGACTTGCCTTACGACGTCGACTGGCGTGACTTAAGGACCACATGAACCAGGCGGGCAGCGTGGACTTCTGCAGAGTGCTCACAGAGGACAGGACCGTCTACGGCAGATCTTTCGGATACGGTCAGGTACTCTCCTCCGCAGAAAGGGAGGCTCAGAAGGCCATAGCCATCCTGGACGAGACGGAGCTCTCGAACTGGAGGATTCGGGGTCGGACGTGGTCTGGCGCAAAGAGACGTCATCTACCACGTGCGTAGTGGAACGGTGGTGGTGAGGTGTGAGAAGGGAGCTGGAATGACACGACCCATGATCTGAAGTGTGAGTCCTGCCCCGGAGCGACCCGAAGGCAGCAGGGACTGGCTGCAGCTGACCAGCGCGTGCGAGAACCTCTAGCAGTGGAGCGTGAGGCACGGAGCGGAGTGCGGCGGCCTGGCCGGGGGCTTCGAGCGCCCGGGCGCGGGCCGACAGTGTGGCCGAGTCCCGATGGACGTGCGACAGAGGGGGGAAGGAGGAAGAAGAGGAGGAGGAGGAGGAGGAGGAGGAGGGAGGAGGAGGACGAGAAGGAGGAGGAGGAGGAGGACAAGGACGAGGAGGAGGAGGAGGAGGAGGAGGAGCACGAGGAGGAGGAGGAGGAGGAGGAGCACGAGGATGAGGAGGAGGAGGAGGAGGAGGAGGAGGAGGAGGAGCACGAGGAGGAGGAGGAGGAGGCAGAGGAGAGTCCGATAGCATGTCCAAGGATAATCACAGAGGAAGGAAGAGGTTACATTACGCAGTTGTGTTGCGGTTGCTGCGAAAAGGAGGAGATAGAGGAAGGAGGAGAGGTGTTGTGCGTCCCCGTTGCCTTACTGCTCTTTGCATAGAGTAGGTCGCATCTTCGGACTC